TTCCGTTGTTTACCGTGCGTGTATGTGTCCTAACTCTATAATGAAATAATAATAATTATTATTTTTCTTTTATTATTATTATCATCATTATTATTATTAACCAACACCCCACTCACTCACAACCCCCACTCACTCACAACCCCCACTTACCCACAACCCCCACTCACTCACAACCCCCACTTACCCACCATCCCCACTCATGGCTCACACAGTGTTAATTTGAGACAAGTGGATTACCGCTTGTTGATCCTCTCTCTCTCTCTCTTTCTTCTTCTTCGTCAATACACCTTTCACTGCCCGCCTCTTCTTTATGTGTCCCCTCCTTTACCCTGTGTTCTCGCTCCCTTACTTTTGTTTACTATGATCAGCACCATTAGGTTGTGGCCTCTTACACACTGTCAGAACTGACACCTCCCAGGACTGACACTTGCTAGGACTAGCACCTGCTAGGACTGACACCTGTAAGAACTGACACCTCTCAGGACTGACACCTTCTAGGACTGACGTCTTCTAAGACTGACACCTTTTATGACTGACACCTGCTGAGACTGACACCTGTCAGGACTGTCACATTTCAGGACTACTACTACTATTACTAACACCTGTTAGGAATGACACTTGTCAGAACTGACACTTTTAGGACTAACACCTGTCAAAACTAACACTTAGGACTGACATCTGCTAGGAGTGACACCTGCTAGGACTGACACCTGCTAGGAATGACACTTGTCAGGACTGACACTTTTAGGACTGACACCTGTCAAAACTAACACCTAGGATTGACATCTGCTAGGAGTGACACCTGTCAAAACTAACACTTAGGACTCACATCTGCTAGGAGTGACACCTGTCAGGACTGACACCTGCTAGGACTGACACCTGCTAGGACTGGGACCTATATGACCCTAAATCGGGGAGGGACGGATACTTGGGAGGGACGGATACTTTAAACAAGCAAGAAAAAAATAAATGGTGAGGAATGGAGAGAGAAAGAGAAGGTGTAGAGGGAGAGAAGGTGAATAGAGGGTGAGAGACCGAATGGGGGAAAAAGAAAGAAGATGGGAGGAAAAAGGAAATGTAAGGAGACAGAATGAATGAAGGGAATGAGACAACTATTGACGGAAATAAAGGAGAAGGGAGGAGGGAAGAGAGCCGTAAGAAGTAAAGATACACGGTTAGGAAAGAGGTAGACAGGAGGAGGAGGAGGATAATGTATGCTGTGTGTCTTGACGAGTCTCCAAGAACCATTCCAACTTGTTTCGTCTCTGTGGTGGTTCCTCTGAGGAGTGCTACGTCATTCTCAAGGTCACTACATTATAGTAATGTAGTAAAGTAGCGTCAGTGGTACAGTATAAACAAAACAACGTGGATCTAAGCCAAATGCAAACAATATAAACACAACTTGGTGACGTTTTTAGCTCGTCTGTTTACAAGGGTAACAAAGGTGTATTGTCACAGCCCTGGCGTCGTCTTCATCGTTCGGGTAAATCGTTATCTTTAGCTTGGTCGCCTACAACACGTCTATTCTTGTTCATCATGTGCATGACAGAGTGCGAGTAATTGACAGAGTCCTTAAAGAAAAAATATTTACGGTGCCGTCTCTCACGAGGAGTTAGTGAGGTAGAGATTGTTGTTGTGTTGTCACGGTTCGTCTCCCGCTTTGGAACACTGGCGGAACATAAACGATAAAACCTAAACGGTGTTTCACAAAGTGCACTGACTGGGGCAAAAGAATGGATCGTCGTGAAGGCTCCAGCAAGACCCAGGAGCGACGCAGCCAGCGAGTGTATGCGTGTGTGCGCGCTGAGCCAAGACACGGACTGGGAAAACAGCGGAAAGAGGAGGAACGAGCCGCGCCATCTTAATATATGTCTCGAGGAAGATGCACTCGGGCCACAACACACACCATCAGTTGTCCTCATCTACATTTTCCGACTCGTTGACTGCCTTGAGGTCAGGGGAGTGGGGTTGTGAGGACGACTTGGTGACAGTGGCCGGAGAGGTGAGACTCGTGTCGCCTCCTGTCTGGGTTGTGATTGATGCTGAACTCAGTTACGTCCTTTATATGGTACACTACAGGGTTAATGACTCTTGGCTTGTCGAGGCAGCAGGGAACTTTGTGAGACACATTTATGATTCTGTCAAAGGAAACGAGGTGATTGATCTGGATTTTTCTGGACTATGGTCCTCCACCCTGATCGTTTCCGGGCTGTGTTTACCAGGCCTCCCAGATTTTCCATCACGTTGGGGACCCACCTTATAATTTGAGTCATATATCCCAGTCTCCGCCTTCCCCTGGCCCTCCTACCATCAATTTACCCACCAATATTGCTACTATTATCCCCTCATCCCTAATTATATGGCCAAAGTATCTAATTTTCTCTATCCTATAAATTTCAATGATTTTCCTTGTTATTCTTACCAATTTTAGTACACCTTTATTTGTTTTCCTATAAATACAACTTATTCATAGCAGGTGAACAAAAGAAATAAGACTATGGAATAACCTGATACACTCGTCAAGGGGCAAAACAATACTCCTGACAGAGACCTTCACACGGCTTGATAAAAACATCATATTCCGTGATTGAAGGAGTTAAGGGAGGTGCTGAGGAAGGACAGGTTCTCTCCACCACCGAGAGGACAACACAATAATTCTGTGTAGATGATGACAGGATGGAGAGTGTGGGTCTTCCCCGGTGTTTGTTTATTTTGCTGATACTTACTGTACGTCCTCCTGGCCTGTAGACCGGTACGTCCTCCTGGCCTGTATACCGGTACGTCCTCCTGGCCTGTATACCGGTACGTCCTCCTGGCCTGTAGACCGGTACGTCCTCCTGGCCTGCATACCGGTACGTCCTCCTGGCCTGTATACCGGTACGTCCTCCTGGCCTGTATACCGGTACGTCCCTCCTGGCCTGTATACCGGTACGTCCTCCTGGCCTGTATACCGGTACGTCCTCTGGCCTGTGCCGGTACGTCCTCTGGCCTGCATACCGGTACGTCCTCCTGGCCTGCATACCGGTACGTCCTCCTGGCCTGCATACCGGTACGTCCTCCTGGCCTGCATACCGGTACGTCCTCCTGGCCTGCATGCCGGTATCACTTTAGACACATTAACAAGTGTCAAGAGACAGATGTCAGGTAAAACAGCTGACGTCACTTAACTGTTTGTCTCAACACCTACAGTGTAACTCTCATTAAATGTTTGGTCACCGAGTGGACATGACTAAATTCATCTCTCCTGGATTACAGTTTCATGTCGCCATAAAAGATAAGAATGTTTAATTCAAAATATATCATTGTATGTGAGTCGCTGGCTCGATCCCGGGCACCCACAGTCCACCCAGCTGTAAACGAGTACCTAAATTTACAGTTGGGGAAGTGGAGGCGGTTGAATACAGTGCCGCCCACGCTGCTGTTTCTTTGTGTGCAAAATATGGGCCGACGAGCCTATGAGACCCACAGGCAGAACTCGTTTATGTTGTATGTGTATTGTACAACTGCATGTGCATGTACAGGACAGTTTTTCAGGACAAAACTGGAACACTAATGATTCCTCTTGTTATCGCTCTGGATATACGATAACTCTCCACGTTTTTCGTTTTTTTTTCTTTATCCACTCAACTGTTGCCATAAAAGTTTCACACTTCCGATTCAACAAAAACATCTGGTTTAGTTTTAGCGAAACTTAATAGGATGTTTCTCGGGTTAGTTGTCTCCTCTCAATAGTAGTACAAACTATCTGTACTTGGGAAGGTCGATGAATTTCAGAACAAACACTGACTCCTGTTGTCTCGGTAGGTTGCCAAAATCCCTCGTCCGTTGTGTCATGTTTTTTTTTCAAAAATTTTGTTTAGATAGTTTTTGGAGTGACTATTCAACTGACATTAGTGTTGCCCATCTCAGGAGTACTACATTACCCAACCAGAGTCCTATGGGAGTCCTATGGGAGTCCTATGGGAGTCTAGTGGTTAATATTGAACGCAGTATTGGACACACACACACACACACACACACACACACACACACACACACACACACACACACACACACACACACACACACATTCCTGCAGCATTAATCACCCCATTCCTGTAGCATTAATCACCCATTCCTGTATCACCCCATTCCTGGCATTAATCACCCCCATTCCTGTAGCATTAATCACCCATTCCCTGCAGCATTAATCACCCCTCTTCCCTCCCCTCTCCCTCCCTAACCTTCTCCTCCCCTCCCCTAACCTTCTCCTCCCCTCCTCTCCCCTCCCCTCCTCTCCTATGAATCACAACTAAAGCTGATTAACATTACAAGATTTGCATATGAGAGAACGACACTATTTATAGAAGCGTTGGTTTAAGGTAAAACCTTTTGATGATGATAATAATGGTTTTAGGTATAAAGCTTAAACCATCGTCCTCAAAGGGTAGTCAGGGATTACCTTAAAGTTATTTCCCTAAGTTTATGGTAAAAATTCTAATTTGGCGCAATTCACGGTAATGGCGCTTCAGGTAAAAGGTATTAGCTGGGCTGAAGCAAACTTATACTCAGCTTCACTTATACACCTGCCTGGTCCATATCCTCTTAACCTACCTGGACACACCATTAGAGTGTTTAATATTTATGGTAAGTAAGTCAATGATAAGGGTAACTGTTGAAGTGTGTCTCTCTCTCTCTCTCTCTCTCTCTCTCTCTCTCTCTCTCTCTCTCTCTCTCTCTCTCTCTCTCTCTCTCTCTCTTTGTGTCTGTCTGTCTGTCTCATAAGTTAAACCCTTTGTTACATCAGATGATTTTATGAATTAACATTACATTTTCTTTATAGATATTAACGTCTATCTATTGTTTAGTTCATTGTTTACACGTATTAACGTTGTTTATTGTTTACATTAAGCAACGTTATCGTTTACATGAACTGTATTAGCGCCTTTTGTTTACCTATTGTCTACACTTTAGGTAGCAACTTATTGTCTACACCTATTAACGCCACATATTGTTTACAGGGTGTGAATGGGAAGATCCACTTCGCTGTCTCCCCAAAAGACCAGCGTTACTATCTGCCCGTCTCCTCCCTCCGGCCTGTGGAGCCCCCCGAGCAGGTCGAGGAGGAGGAGGAGGGCCTTCGCTTACTGCCACAAGACCTCGGCCTCCAACCCCAGCAGGTGTACCCGGGGGAGTTTTTCCAATACCAGGATGAGGAACAACAGGACCCATCCCAGTACCAACCCCAGTACAGGTACGAACCCCGACGACCCCAGGAGCAGGACCAGTATCAACCCCAGTTCCTCCCGCGGCTGCCGTATAGTCGGTATCCTGAGGAGGCCGTGTACGATGTCCGGCGGCTGGACCCCAGGCTGATGGGAGCAGAAGGCGAGCGGGAGGAGATGGAGGAGGAGAACACCGGGCGGGAAGAGATCAAGCGCCTCATGGTGGATGAAAATGACGATTATAATGTCGATAAAAACACGAAGACGGCAGAAGAAGCAGAGACGACGGTGGCGCCTCAAAAAGGTGAGAAATAAATATTTTTTAGGCCAATGTAAAACACAAATAAACAAGTAGTTGGTCTTAGTAAGTTTTTTGGTCATTTGTGTTTCGATAATTGTCACAGGAATATTTAACGTATATTTTTATCGGTTGAATATAAGGCTATAAACAAGTAAACAATACAAGCAACCATTTTACCAGGAGATTTCGTCATTCTACCATGAACTGACGATTTTTTTTACCTAATCTAACCATTAGGATTGGGGCCCATTAGAACAGGGCCCCAGCTCTAGTATTTATGTTACATTACATTACGATAATGTCCCAATACTAATAACTAGTTTAAAGCTTCAATCTTAATAATAATCAGATGTGATTAGCTAGGGTCTATTACGACTGGGGCCAACTAGGACTTGGACCTACTAAGCCTGGGACCTAGTAAGGCTGGGGCTTGCAAAGACTAAGGCTTACTAAGACTTGGGCCTTCTAAGTCTTAAGACCCATTTATCCTCCACCTTTCCTCATCCACATAACTAAATATCTGTATAAACATTTAAAATTTTCCGAGGCAAATAAAGCCTAATCCCCGCCTCTGTGCGTCCATCAATCAGTAGCCGTCACTGTCAGGTTTACACTCCACCAGCGCTGCCAAAATGAAATTACCCAGAAATTAATGGAAATATTATTGGTTAGGGTTATATAATTTACACACGGACACAAGGACGCACTTACACACCTACACACGTACACATGCACACTGACACCTACACACCGACACATTACACACTTACACACCGCCAAATTGACACACTTACACCCCGAAGCACGTACACACCGACACATGTACACACTGACAAACACCAACACATTTATATACTTACACACGGACACACTGAGACACGTACGCACACACTGATACACCTACACACGGACACACTTACACACCTACGCACCTACACATGCACACCGACACACTTACACACGGACACACTTATATACTTACACACGGACACACTTACACACAAACCGATGCATCTACACACCGATACCCCTACACACGTACACACACAAAGCTGACATACCTACACACACTTACATGTATACATTCATTAACCCAGTTGAGGAACATATGTGACTTCATGATCATAAATAAGGTGAATAAACGTCTCTTGAGTTGTGTTAGATGAGAGCAAAGGTGACAAGGTGAAACATACTGAAACATGCCATCTAGGTGACACATAGTAACTTAAACATGCCATCTAGGTGACACATAGTAAGTTAAACATGCCATCTAGGTGACACATAGTAAGTTAAACATGCCATCTAGGTGAAACATACTTAAACATGCCATCTAGGTGACACATAGTAAGTTAAACATGCCATCTAGGTGAAACATACTGAAACATGCCATCTAGGTGACACATAGTAAGTTAAACATGCCATCTAGGTGACACATAGTAAGTTAAACATGCCATCTAGGTGACAGTGTGGAGACGACCAGCGACCTAGATACTGAATATAATATTGAGGGCAGGTTAAGTGAAGGTTCATTAATGCCATATGAAGGTGTTCAGGTGACCAAGTGTGAGGAGCCAGGTGTATCACGTGTGCCAAGACAGGGGTTTGAGGATGGGTGAGGGTACTGTGATGTGTGAGGATGGGGAGAGAGGTACTGTGATGTGTGAGGATGGGGAGAGATGTACTGTGATGTGTGAGGATGGGGAGAGGTACTGTGATGTGTGGGGATGGGGAGAGGTACTGTGATGTGTGGGGATGGGGAGAGGTACTGTGATGTGTGAGGATGGGGAGAGTACTGTGATGTGTGAGGATGGGGAGAGGTACTGTGATGTGTGGGGATGGGGAGAGGTACTGTGATGTGTGGGGATGGGGAGAGGTACTGTGATGTGTGAGGATGGGGAGAGCTACTGTGATGTGTGAGGATGAGGAGGAATGTGGTAGTAATGAGGCGTTCATATGGGAAAAGGGAAAAGATTTGAATATTTAGAAGATGTATGGTTAACCTGGGGGATGTTAATGGGGAGTATAGTACACGGTGATGGGGGTTGGTGAGGAGGAGGAGGACCAGCAGTGGGAAGAAGTATGAACGTCTGAAAGATTCCATTAAGTCGTAGTCGCGGGGATGTCCTCATTGGGAGAAAACAATGACATCGTTTAATATTCCTTTCACTGAATTTGTTGTCGGTAAATGTTTTAATCTGAAAATTGTATTGTTCATTTATTTTCCCCATTTTGGGAGTTTTATTGAATCTTTTTGCATGTTAGAATGTCTTATAGTAACCATTCTATTTAAAACACACACACGTGCAGGATGTGTTTGAGCCGGATCTTGAATGTAGTAATTTGTTTACCTTGTGAGGAAACCGGTTAGGATTAAATTGGAAAATCCTCCCACCAAATGGTCCATTACGCCAGGAGGTCTGGCAACAGGAATTACCCATTGCCGTCTGGATCACGACTCCCCGGGGCCCAGTCTTGTTTGTGTAGGCTAATGGTGCGTTTCTGTCGCCGCTGCCCGCCCACGACACTCTCCTAGTAGTGGCCAGTGATACTCTCTCTCTCTCTCTCTCTCTTATAGGTCATCATTCTATATCAAACAAAAGGCGTTACGTGGTAAGCGGGACCACTGAATTGGCCCACGAGTCAATAGCTACCATCCCTTTACACACAGAGCTATTGTATGTAGATTTACTCTCATCTAAGTATGTTCGCTTCTTCCTTTACAAGACAAAATTAGGATATCTTACTCCTTTAGCGTCATCTATCATTCTCTATCCGTGTCTTCTGTTGTTGGTCATTGTAATAAAGTTTGGTCAGGCGTTTTTTTATTGTTACGCTTTGTCAGTATCTAGAAAGTAGTAATAACAAAAACAATGTATGATTCCCTAGTTCCTATGAGTTTATAAGAGAAGTGAGTTGCGTTAATCAGGTAATATACGAGCTATAATTGTCTGTTATTGGACACTACTCGGGTCTATCATCACTACTGTTGTTAAATTGTTTCTTGCATGGTCCACCAGTAACCAAAGTCACATGGCTTCCACAGAGTCACTTTGTGTATTGTATTAACTGAGGGACCAGGAGCTTCTTACCTCACTATGTGTTAAATAATGCAGTGTGTGAGAGGCGAGAAAAAGATTGACTACGTATTGTATGCTAAGTCATTCTATTTTAATTTTCTGAACGACCTATCTAAATGCTTATGGCTGAGGATTCATTCGTCTATGGAGGCAATATACGGGTATAGCTAGAGAAAAACAGGATTATGTAAACAGTTTGCTAGACTTGCCACTGATATACAACATTTGTGCTTTACGTCAAATTTCACTTGAACTTTTAAGGTTTTAAGTCAATTTACACAGTTGAAATGTCATGTGTCTTGAGACCCTTCACTTGCAGTTGAATGAATTTATAATTAATTAGTTATCAAAAATTAAATTGCTAGTGTTACAGAGGACTTTAAATTCCCCGTTTAATTGTTGTTATTGAACTCCGTAAGGAACATTAGCAACTAAAGTTATATCGCCACCAGCCAGAGCCTCCGTCCGACCGTGTCCTTTGATATTCTGCCTCATTCTGCTTCCTTCTGAGCCCAAAGTTTATAGCAGTCCTTAATGACGCACTGAAGAGGCAGGAAGACCTTCAATCTAAGCTTGTTGAAGTTCCCCATCCTGGTGGTGTCAACACTGCCTGACCCCCACCTCCTGAGGAGATCTAGTGTAAACATGACCCACACTCCATGGAAGAAGAGACGAGATAGTAACACGATATTATTCCTTCACTAGACAGGCTGACAGTTAAGGTATATGGATTAACTAGACTAGATACCACTCCTCCCAGACCTAAACTGTTGGCTTATTTACAAAAGTCAAAATACAATGAAACATAAGGATCACTTTATTAAGCTTATAAATATGCTTGACACTTGGCAAAAATTTAATGAAAACACGAAACAAGTTTTAGATAATTTGTTGTGGTTGATTCATACACAAGTACAGTACAAGGAACAACTCTTGATACTGTTACGCACCGAGCGACGCGCAGCTGCTCCAGGTAGAAGAGACTTGAGTTGATGGATTAATCTCAGCTACCTTGAGAGTCATTAATGGTACTAACTGTTCCACCTTATCTGTTTGAAATTGGAGAAAATTGATGAACTGACACACACACACACACACACACACACACACACACACACACACACACACACACACACACACACACACACACAGTGAAGGACGTCATACTAAAGAGATTAAGAGGTTCATCTAATTTGTCTCTTCATCAGTGACTGGACTTTACCTCACCCTTATTTAATCTTCCGCCTCCACCTCTTCTTCCACCCCTCCTCCACCTCTTCCTCCACCCCGCATCCACCTCTTCCTCCACCCCTCCTCCACCTCTTCCCCCACCCCGCTTCCAGATGCCATGTAGAGGGTGTGGGTGGAAGGGAAATTACTTAGTGGTTCCATTGGTTGAGTCTTTCCTTCGTTACCTGGTTGATATCACAGACGTTTTTTGGGGCTGAGAATGATTTATTTTCTTCTTTACACTCCTACTCGTGAGCAGTGAGTGAGGCAGCCTGACACACCCAGTGAGTGAGGCAGCCTGACACACCCAGTGAGTGAGGCAGCCTGACACACCCAGTGAGTGAGGCAGCCTGACACACCCAGTGAGTGAAGCAGCCTGACACACCCAGTGAGTGAGGCAGCCTGACACACCCACAGCCTGCCAGTGCACACCCAGTGAGTGAGGCAGCCTGACACACCCAGTGAGTGAGGCAGCCTGACACACCCCAGCCTGACACCCAGTGAGTGAGGCAGCCTGACACACCCAGTGAGTGAGGCAGCCTGACACACCCAGTGAGTGAGGCAGCCTGACACACCCAGTGAGTGAGGCAGCCTGACACACCCAGTGAGTGAGGCAGCCTGACACACTGCGTCGTTCACCGCTGGGCTCAAGGGTCCCTGTGTTTTATATTACATAATTGTTATTTCTTATAAGGAGTTAATCGAGAATTAATCGGAGTTTATCGATTAATTTGATAAGAATTCGGTTAATATAAATTAAATTATCCGGTATTTTAAAGGTTAACTAGTTAAGTTAACTTTATCGTTAACTTGTAGAAGTTAACGATTAAGTTAATTAATTGCCCTATGCCTGCTAACTGTCAGACTAAAAAGGTAAGCCGGGGTCTTGTTCATACAGGATGATCCCAGTCCTTGAAGGTCCTAACCTAACCTAACCTAACCTAATTATTACCATTAGGCTCCAATACGAATGGTCCCCAGCACTAGTGGCCTGGCGTCGTCTGGTGGGCACAGGTCACCTTGAACATCGCTTCTTTATTTCACATTTTTTATAATTTTTATCATAATACTGGAGTCCTTCATCACCTCTTTCCTTGCTGCGCCACTTACCATCCTCCTGTGTGGACCACATTATATGGAGTACATCCAGTTTAGGCACCCAGCATATTTCACCTTATAATTAAACACCCTAACTTAACTTAACTTAACTTAACCTCCCCAGGTATAGTGTTTGGGTGTTTAATCATCGGGTAAATAAACTGGGGTATTGATCAGAGTACATGTATGTATTTCTTACTCGTGTTATTTCCTTCTAACACACTTCATCTGTCCACAGTGGCGACCTCTCAGCCCGAGGCGGTCAACTATATGCACCTGCGTCACTCGCCCTCTGAGGCCAAAGAATCCAGCTATGCCATCCACGACGCCAACCAACAGCAGCAGCCTCACCTCAGTGACCTCTACTTCACAGGTGGGTGACATGACGGGTCCTAAGGCTGTCTGAGTGTGTGTGTGTGTGTGTGTGTGTGTGTGTGTGTGTGTTGTGGAGGAGGGAATTTTGAATTTGAATTTTGTTGCAGGCAGCAGCTAGTTTATTGTGCACCCCATACTCATCCTGCGAGCGGTAGTGAAAAAGGGATTACAGAGTAGAGGTCCCAAAGGGTGTTTATCAAACCCTAGTGGTCAGGTGTTACGTAGTATTTCCAGTACGTTGTTGGTACACACTAGAATTTTGATTAGGTATGGAGGAGGAGGGGCTGTGTGTGTGTGTGTGTGTTGTGGAGAAGGGGCTGTGTGTGTGTGTGTGTGTGTTGTGGGGCTGTCTGTGTGTGTATGTTGGGAGGGGCTGTCTGTGTGTGTATGTATGTGGAGAAGGGGCTGTGTGTGTGTTGTGGAGAAGGGGCTGTCTGTGTGTGTGGAGGAGGAGGAGGAGGGGCTGTCTGTGTGTGTGTGTATGAAGGGAGGAGGAGGGCTGTCTGTGTGTGTGTGTGGAGGAGGAGGGGCTGTGTGTGTGTGTGTTGTGGCCAGGGTGCTGTGTGTGTGTGTGTGTGTGGTGTGTGTGTAGGGCTGTGTGGGTGGTGTAGGTGCTGTGTGTGGGTGGTGTGGGGTGCTGTGTGTGGGTGGTGTAGGGTGCTGTGTGTGGGTGGTGTGGGGTGCTGTGTGTGTGGGTGGTGTAGGGTACTGTGTGTAGGTGGTGTAGGGTACTGTGTGTAGGTGGTGTAGGGTACTGTGTGTAGGTGGTGTAGGGTACTGTGTGTAGGTGGTGTAGGGTACTGTGTGTAGGTGGTGTCTGTGTTGTTAGTAACCATAAATGAATGACCAAATCACTAACACTACATTTTGAAGGTATTAAAACTGAAATGAATAAAACCCTGAATAAACTCGTCTTGTCTCCTTAAAGATGATGAATTACTCAGCTGGTAGATATGAATAACGTTTGTATATTCAGTGTTCTTCATCATTCAAGAATATAAAAGTTTTCCTCAAGAATGATCGATTTTTACAGCTGAACTAGAAAGCATATTGATGGCCGGCTGTCTAGGGGGAGAAGTGTTGCTGGTGGTGAGGAAGATAGCGGTGAGTGAGGCAGCAGGGCCTAGTGTACAGCTGTCGGAGCGAGTGACAAGGGTTAGCAAGAGAAAGAGATAGAGACATATAGATAAATGACATCAATACATATTAGATGGAAACTGAGAGGAAGTAGAGAGATAGAAACTGAGATATTGCGAGAGAGAGAGATAATTAGCTCGGAAAATAGAGATACGAAAATATATAAGGAAATAAGATGAGACATAAGTAAATTTAGACAGATAGAGACAGAGAGAGATGGTGTCCGCGTGTTTCATCATTACAGTTGATATTTCAGGAGCAATACAGTAAGTAGCTTTTAGCAGCCAGCTCCAACAATTAGTCTGAAATTCAATATTGACGCTTCAATAATTCATGCTAATAATTTAACCAGATATTCCAGTGTTAATACTCGTGCTGATATTATTATTATTATTATTTTATTATTATTATTAGTAGTAGTATTAGTAGTAGTAGTAGTAGTAGTAGTAGTAGTAGTAGTAGTAGTAGTAGTAGTAGTAGTAGTATTAATGCCAGTGCTTATGACTTTATCACCAGAGTAGAGTATAAAACTCCGAGCGTCTGTCATCCCTTTCAGTCTCTGTATGAAACAAGGACAATGTGCGTGCGTATATATATCGAGTAAATCTATTGCCTTAATTGCAGTCCTGTTGCCTCTTTGTCGGAATATTCTCTCCCGGGTCATTCATCCATACAGTTGTTGTTATGAGCAGTATGGGTGGATCCAGTACTAGTCTCATAAAGGGACAAACTAATATAAGAGTTTAAACTTAATGTCCCGGGTACCTGTGGTGGCGGGACGGTGGCGGCATCATAAGTCCACCTGCCGGAGCTACACAAATAGCCCTCAGTCCTAGTAGACCCCAGTTCTAAGGGACCCCAGTTCTAAGAGACCCCACCTTGACCTAAAGACATAGCATTTAGGCACCATTAGGAGTAGTGCCCATTAGGAGTAGTGCCCATTAGGAGTAGGAATCATTTGGATCATTTTAGGACTGGGATCTATTTAGTCACTCACGCTCTCGTTTACACAAGGAAGTTACCGTGTGATGTTTAGTACAGTATCTCCATTAATGATAACTAAGACGGGTTGTGATGATCAAGGTGGTGACAGTCAGTACGTCATCATTAAGTTCAGCAACACACACACACACACACACACACACACACACACACACACACCAGCATTACAAGGATAAACTACCAGAGTCAAGGGAGTTTTTGATGCAGTAGAGGCTCTGCACAGGGGACGGCTGGGCTCTGGTAGCGTCCACTGTACCCTCGCTTCTATTTATACCGCGTGAATGTATAATATGAACCTGTTAGTGAAATGTTGTTGGGAGTTTGTCTCAATTTGAAGTACTTGTTAATATTCAGCTTTACGAGGGATGGTGTCCTCCACTTTAAGGTCAGTCAGTCGTCTGTGTACCACTCCTAGGATAACTGTATACTGCCGTTACAGTGATAAAACTCACTGTACTTGACTGTTAAGGATCAACACCGTGGTCATCCTCCTTCCTCATCTATTTAATAGCTGTCATCGTCGTCATTACTCTGGGGCCCAGTGATCGAGTAAACACAGTCAGGTGACTCAGTCTGTATATACACGATGTCTTGATAAGTGAACCGTGAACCTTAAGATGAACCCTAAACAATGTACATCAGTGCACGTGAGTCTCCTGACCCCAGAGAAAGTTTTGTACCAGAAGTCACCATAAACGTTGACAGATACCATAATACTAACTATTCTTGTACCACATAGACACACGCATGAACGTCTCGTGTACGGACACAGGTTCTAAAAATAGTTCCGTGCCATCTTGAAGTGACCCCATAATACCGTGCCACCCTCTCCAGGTACTGCACTATATCGTCTTACACACTGAGCCAGTCTATTATTTCCACCAGCGGACGACCCTCAGGCCCTGACGCCGCACAAAACGTAATATAATATTCATGAATACATTACTAAAGAACAGAGCCATTGTGGATATTAAGTTATTACCATGCAAAGCGCACCACAGTGATGAAAGATTCCAATGTGTTGCTCAAAATAGTCAGAGAGGAAATTTTCACTCAAGGTAGAGAGAGACGAGGATGGTTATTATTCAAACCCACGACAGGAAGGACAAGTAAACAAACACAGACGCCGTATAAGAGTTTACTAATGCCATGACATAATATATATTGACCAGAGTAACACAAAACAAGAATGAAGCAATGAAGGTACAAAGGAATATTGCATTTGCAGCCAGAAACCTGAAAATAGATGAATCTGTCAATATGTCTATTAGGAGCTGACTTGGGAATGGGGTTACAGGCCCAGGGGTAGAGGATCTGGGGGATAGGGGGAGGGGGGATTGGGGAGGAGGGGCTGGGGGAAGGAGCTGGGGGGGGAGCTGGAAGAGGAGGCTGGAGTAGAGGAGGCTGAGGGAGGGGGCTAGGGGAAGCGGCTTGGATACAAGAGCTGGAGAAGGGGCTGGGGTACAGGAGCTGGGGCAAGGAAGCTGGGGTGCGGTGAACTGGGGCTAGGAGGCTGGGGAGGAGACTAGGGAGAGTGGGCCGTGGTAGGGGAGTTGGACTGGGGTAGAGAATCTGGGGGATGGGGGAGGAGAAACCAAGGCAAAAGTATTTCAGAAATATTTAATAAACCTTTCAACGCCCGACTATAAATATATCCTGAACAAACACGCGTCATACACAGTCGCATCCAAAAATAGAGTAGTAAAGGATTTAACTCCTGCGAGTGTAAAGAGACGGAACAATAAAGTGTAACTGTACGCTAAGAGATGTAACAAGCGGGTAGGTAAATATTACGGGGGATTATTTCTCGACCGCCTTCATGTGGGTTACAATGGATCCTGAGCTCGGGTTCTCAACTGGCTCAGCCATGTTAATATAGTTATTATTATCCACTCTGTATCTTTGACTGTACATATCTCCTTTCAAATATGCAATGTAGTGTACTTTACCCCCCTTAAGTATATCATTCACTATACTTTTCTTTTATAAGTGTGTAATGTAATGTACTTGTATCATTTATGTATAAAATTTATTCCTATCACTAAGACCAGGCTGTTGACATCCACCTCCTCTTCCTTTAGCTGTGGTTGCTGGCTGCACCGCCGTGGCTGTGTGTGGCGTCATCGGGGCTGGCATCTGTTGGTATAGGTGAGTACCCTTCACTACACGTTAATTAATGAAGCCTTTCTTGGTCTCCCTTGTATTCTTTGTCTCGGTGCAGCTCTGAGGCACAGCTGTGGTTCTCTTGTTTAAGCGTCTGTTTACGTTTCTCGGTGTTTAGAAATTTATTTCCGGTTTACTTTCAGATATTTGTTCTATATTGATATTACCTGATATCCTGATACTTATTTATGACTTACAAGACATGACTTCCGTTTGATTATTCAGTTATTCACCAGTATTTTAGTTTACATATTTAGGTTAAATTGCCCATTGTCCCTTAAGTTTGTGTTATTTCTAATCGACAGAAAAATAATACAGCTTTACTACAAATTGTGATGATACTTTTGAAGGTAAATATCAAGAGAATTTAGGTACAGGTGTTGCTATTTTTACTTTAGTTCGGTCATCCTCTTACCAAAGTTATTTCCGTTTTCTGTCTTATCAGTTGGAGCACTACGTCATCTCCGCCAGTGGTAAGGAACGAACGTTATATCGGTGATTTGTTTATATATCTTAATTTATGATATATTTCAGATCTCGAGTTTTTATTATTGTAAAAGTCTTGCTTATAGTATTGTCTTTTTAACCTTTATTATTGTCACGTCTTAATGAAACGCCTGGGGATGTTTCTGAAGGTCGTTTTCGATAACCTATTACAGGAAAACACTGGCAACGAGTGTTGGTGTTTTGTCTTTCTTTATCTGAAAATTAACTTCAATATTCCATACCATATAACACAACATAAATCTTTAAGTTTGTGTTTGCTGAGGGTAAGCTGTTGAGGGTGGAGCACCTTAGGAAAGTTGATATTTGTTTATCTCAGCCTTGAGGCTGATCATTTAGGCTATATGGGCATAAAATAAGCATATTTCGAATTGCCTGAGGATTAGACACCCCAGTTTTTTCACTTGAAGATTAACCTAACCTAACCGAACCTAATTTTCACAATATTAATAAGACCGTTACACTCTTGAGGCGATAAAAACATTTTGATTTTTCATAAATACAAGATTTTTCATTGAGAACAGATGACAGTGAAGGAAACACGACTCTGAAAAAGTCTTGACGAAACGTCAGGAATAAAGCTCCATCTCTTAGTCGTGTTTCCTTCACTACCATTCTACCATAAATACAAGAATTCTCGTCCCAGGCCAACAACAATCATTCAGGTGTGTTGTTCTTACTGGGCAGTGTGTTGTGTAATGTAATGAAACGAACAGTGAGAGTAAGTAGACCAACCTAATGTGAGACAACTTAATGCACAAAAATCTTACCAATCTTCATAACTTTTACTTATCATTAACTATTTATTACTGTTAATTGGAATATGCACACGAAAAATCCCTGTATATGGCAACTGATATTTTAGCTGCACAACATTAACATCCGACTAGTTAACAAAGTATTAAATGAGTTAGCCCTTTAATCAATAAATACCCGTTTTCTTCTTTTTCTGAACCATTTTCTGTGTAACTCAGTCTCATAACAGAAAACGTTAGGAAAGAAAGGGGCAGCTAAAGTAATGTAAGCATTACTATGAGTCTTGTAGCATATTTCACCACTGCGGTGTTTTCTGCTCATAATTTAATTGTTTTGAGGCTTCTTCTTATAAAATCACATAGCTAATCTGAAAATTTGAATTATCTAAATAAGAAAGCTTAAAATTATAAAATAATACACTTTTATTTTACTGTTTAACAAGGAATATCTTTGTGTCTTATCAATATTAACCCAATGGTTATTTTTGATGATGTTCTAACCCAGTGGTTTTATATGGTGGTCTCTCTCTCTCTCTCTCTCTCTCTCTCTCTCTCTCTCTCTCTCTCTCTCTCTCTCTCTCTCTCTCTCTCTCTCTCTCTCTCTCTCTCTCTCTCTCTCTCTCTCTCTCTCTCTCTCTCTCTCTCTCTCTCTCTCTCTCTCTCTCTCTCTCTCTCTCTCTCTCTCTCTCTCTCTCTCTCTCTCTCTCTCTCTCTCTCTCTCTCTCTCTCTCTCTCTCTCTCTCTCTCTCTCTCTCTCTCTCTCTCTCTCTCTCTCTCTCTCTCTCTCTCTCTCTCTCTCTCTCTCTCTCTCTCTCTCTCTCTCTCTCTCTCTCTCTCTCTCTCTCTCTCTCTCTCTCTCTCTCTCTCTCTCTCTCTCTCTCTCTCTCTCTCTCTCTCTCTCTCTCTCTCTCTCTCTCTCTCTCTCTCTCTCTCTCTCTCTCTCTCTCTCTCTCTCTCTCTCTCTCTCTCTCTCTCTCTCTCTCTCTCTCTCTCTCTCTCTCTCTCTCTCTCTCTCTCTCTCTCTCTCTCTCTCTCTCTCTCTCTCTCTCTCTCTCTCTCTCTCTCTCTCTCTCTCTCTCTCTCTCTCTCTCTCTCTCTCTCTCTCTCTCTCTCTCTCTCTCTCTCTCTCTCTCTCTCTCTCTCTCTCTCTCTCTCTCTCTCTCTCTCTCTCTTTCTCTCTCTCTCTCTCCAATCTTTAGTCTGAATTAAATAAGAAATTAAGTAAAATCGAAAACAGAACAAATAATTAAATCCGTATCAGTTTTCCATTAAAATAGATCTGCTGATATCAATTAATCTATGAATGCACTGTAGATCAAGGGGGAAATTAAATGAAGTTTGTTTACACTTTCAAATTCAAAACTCTTCTCGCTAGTAAACATTTCTTTCCATGGGTGTATTTCATTCCCTGTCGCTGATGTATGAGACTTATTCTGTTATGGTATGTCCTGTTAAAGTCCCATTGTCTTGGTTTATCCCTTTCGCTTCGTGTTATCCATCCCCTTATATCACGCGACATCATGCTATCCTCTCATTCACGCACACTGTTTTTCCTAAATGTCAATCGCTTATTATTTATTAAGTCTGCCATTTATCCTGTTTTTTGTTCCGTCTCCTTTCGGGTTTTCCTTTATCCACATTACCACCCAACTCTGACTTCTGCATTTTATATGAGGTTTCACTTCATATCCACCTCAATATGACCATACCATCTTAGCGGAACTATGAACCTTTCTAACTTATGGCTTCTTTCTCTTCCATATCTTCTTATCTCTGTATTTCTTCTTCTCTCTGTCTATTCACTCCACAGATCATTCTCAGTTACATCGTTTCTGTTACTTCTAATTTACTTCCTTCTCTTGCATCCGGAGCCTTTTGTTTCTTAAATGTATAATATTTTTTTTAAACTCCTCTTTGCCTTCTTTGCGAGATGATTTTTCTCTGTCAGCTGATGTTGTAATACCATAAACGCGGCGATCGATGTCCACTCTGGCTTTTGTCACCACAGCGGCCACCAGCCCTCACTTCCACCTTCTTCCTCCTGCCCCAACATCTACCGCCTCACCAAATTGGCCTCCATACCTCCAATGCTCCACCTCTTTATCCCCCCCCCCCAACCACCTCCCCTGCGTCCTCCGTAATATGGGATTGGAAGACGTGCGTGGCATCCCCAGTGTGGCCTGGAACACCGAGAATTCCGGCAGCCTGGTGAGATAAGTTGATTTCCTAGGAAGTCTTACAGCCAGTGTTAGCGGCTCCATGGCCCCCATCCTTACCTCATCCTGGCGTTAGGAGTTCGTAATGATGTCAACTGAGTCTTACTCATCTGTTCTGTAGATGTTTACAGCATTATGAGTCCCGAATTATTGTCTCCTTTAGCGAGTTAAGAGGTTGTGTTGCCGCCTGGGAGTGACAAACATCATCTGCAAAAGACAAGTGTTATAGTCGTCGCTGTTTTTTTTTTCACCTGAGACCGAGACTTCATCTGCGGCCAGGTTGCCTCTCAGCTGTGATGGGGAGGTGAAATGAGGTGAATCTTATTGTGGCAGCTCGCTGGGTCCTGACCATCACCTTCATCCGCCCACCGCAATGCTGATGTCTTCCTCCTTTCCTCGAGTGACCCCCTTTTCCCGCCCTCCCTCTCCACCCCTTCCTTCCTCCCTCCTTCCCTCAATTGACTCCCTCCCTTCTGTTATCTGTCTTTGCCTTTGCTTTCCCAGTCCCAAATGGTCCCAGTCCCAAATGGTCCCAATGTTATTTTCCCAGTCCTAAATGGTCCCAGTCCCAATGTCCTTGTCCCAAATGGTCCCAGTCCCAATATTCTAGTGTCAAATGGTCCCACACGGTCCCATGCGAAAGTCCTTAAAGGCCCCAGTCCTGATAGGCCCCAGTCCTAACAGGCCCCTAAACTAATAGACCCCAGCCTAACAGAATCTAAGCTAAATTAAAGGGCCCTAATTATAATGGACCTTTGTTCTTATGTACCTTTACTCCAATGGGCCCCAATTTTAGTTTGGGCCCAATTAGGATATGGTCCCATTTAACTTGTCAATAAATAGGACAATAATGAATGACGATCGAATGACAAAGGGAAATTGATAATGGGAGATAAGAAAGAGAGAATAAGAAGAAGAAGAATAAAAAAATAAAAGCTTACATAAGAAACGTTAATGAATAAATGTGAAGAGAGAGAAAGAGTAAGAAAGAGAAAAATAAAGAGAATGAAACATGAAAGAACACATAGAGAAAGACAGACATAGGATGATAAAGATGGGATAACTGTGTGAGGGGACGAGACAGGGTAGTATGAGGAGAGAGACAGGATAGTATGAGGAGAGAGACAGGGTAGTATGAGGAGAGAGACAGGATAGTATGAGGAGAGAGACAGGGTAGTATGAGGAGAGAGACAGGATAGTATGAGGAGAGAGACAGGATACTATGAGGAGAGAGACAGGATACTATGAGGAGAGAGACAGGGTAGTATGAGGAGAGAGACAGGATAGTATATGAGAAGATAATGTGAGGGGAAAAGATGACATAATGGGGAAAAATCGGAAGTAGAGAAGATTACGAGGGGAGAGACTTGAGAAGAGGGGAGAATGAGAGGGGAAAGAATTAGTAACTGAAGACTGGAAAGGACATGACCGAGGGTAAACTTAAGAGTGGAAGAACAGAGGGACAGAACGTTGGATGGGAAGATTACCACCGCATACCTTCTTCTCCCTCACCCGCAGTTCCCCTGTAGCACTC